GCAAGTAGTCAGATTCCTCCTGTATCCTCTCTTCAATGCTCCTCTTCCCCATTCCAAAGTTCCGCAGAGTGGTGAGAGAAAACCGCCGGACTTGTAACCATAGCTCATTGTTGCTAAAAACAATCCCTGCAGAAGAAGAAAGAAGAGGAAAGACATGTCCTGGGCATGCTGGCTGAGAGATGAACAGTGGCTCATGGTGACAGTGAATCCTGTCCCTGGAGAGCACTGACATGGCAGCGTCACACCGTACTGCGGTTCTGTGGTCCAACTGCCTGCTTTTGGCCTTCTCCACTACATGCCCAACATCCTTGTGAATAATTCACACTCACCCATACACAATTTCCCTTGCTGCAGCTGCTGGCTGCTGCCCCTTGCCATTTCCCTGCCCATCTTTGAGAGCAATCTGGCTCCCCTGCTCTGCCACCTCCCACCCTCTGAGTTGCAGTAGCCTTCTCTGGCTTCCCCTCTCCAGGTGGATTGCACCCAACTCATGCAGTTTTCCCTCACACAAGGTACACTCCAGCTCTAATCTGGATCACATCCACAATCCCTTCCCTTCTCCTTCAGAAGGAGCTCAGTCAGCAAACATACCTAATCCATTGTTAGCCCTGTCTCCAATTGGCATGTGTCCCCTGGCAGCAAACTCGTCTGCGCGATCGACCAAGGCTTCTTTCACCACATCGTATCCATGCAGCACCACCACTGGGTCAGAGCCCAGGTGCACTGTGAACACGGGTCCATACTCTTCACTGAGCTGTAAAAATGCAAGAGAGAACATGGCCATGGAGCAAATAGTGAGGAAGAGTGGGAAAGTCTCCTTGCTGCTGCCTCTCACAGCAGGCAGTTAGCCTCACACATTGGTAACATCAAGATTTGGGTCTCTCATGATAAATGTGGCTGTGCAGATGGGTCCCACTTATCAGGTCCTAAACAACATGGCAACAGCAGTGAGGGGAAGCAGCTGCAGTCCCCATGACTTTTCTGCTCCTCTGGAATTGCAAGTCATTGAGCCATAGCCACAGGCTGACCCCACACACAAGTCCCACAGATTTCTCACCCAAAGCAGAACAACAGAAGAAGAAGTGGCCTTACCTTCTGGAGAGTTTTGGCCAAGTTACTTGGTTTCACCTGCAGCAAGTTGCCTAGAATGGGAAGGGGAGCTGGTCCTGGAGGCATCTTCCCCTTCCCAGACCTTCCTTTCCATGCTGCAAAGGAGAGCAGGCAGGCAATGCAAACCAGGAGGACAATAGTGGCTCCTCCCAGGAGCTCCATTTTCGTCTGTGGCTCAGGAGGGAGTGACTCTGGCTGTCAGAATCTGAGTTTATACCCCAAAGGTCTGTGTTAGTTCAAGAGCAGGTTTTGAGTCACATGGCTGAGTCAGTCAATGTTTACTAGTCAATCATTTGTTAGATTGCCCTGTGTTATGAAACTTAGACTTTTATTGGTATTAATTATTCATTGAAATCACACCTTATCTCAAACAACTGCAGAAGCCAACAGAGATTGGGAAATCTGTAATGTGCTCACAAAACTTGTTTTCTTTTTCTTTTATCTAGACTTAATTGTTAAAGAAATCATGGTAGGGGGACAGTGTCCTTCCAAGGCGCTCACAGATATTCACTGTCACAAGAACATCTTCCAAGTACTTCAGTGACATTTGGGTTTTCTGCTCTTCTGTATTGATTGTGCAAGCCCTCAGTGCTGTGAGCCATCCTTCATTGTTCCTGAAATCTTCCTGATGTTATTAGTAAACTTCATACTGCATGTTATTTTCTAAAGGACAAGCCATTGTGTTTTCCACAGCAATAGCCCCAGTCTCTCTCCCTAGGGGTGTCTGGCCTCACAAGAGAGGAGAGTATAAAATATCTCTCCAGCCAAGGCTAGAAAGGTCTCCAGACATGACAACAGACAAGAAGGGTCTTGCTGGGTGAGACTAAATGAAGATGTAAGAAAAGGGGACAAAACCTTGAGACTCTGACCTCCTCAAGGGCTCCTAGAGGAAAAAAAGAGAAAAGTACAGAGAAGAGAGAAACCCAGAACTTGAAAGAGTCTCTGGGAAATGGCTTCCCAAGCTAGGACAGAGATGTACTTGTCCGAGGCTGGTATAGGCCATTGCAACCTGGCAACTTGTCCTTGCACTTACCAAAGCAGCTCACCCAACCTACAGCTGGAAGCTGGCATGCACAGGTTCTTGTTTTCTTGATGTCTGACTCCACTATGAGGAACTAGTGCTCTGGAAGTTCCCTAGGTGCTCTGGGAGGCAGCAGAGCGTGTCGGCTGTGTTGCAAGGGCTTAAAAAAGCGCTGGAGGCTTCCTGCCCAAGACTGCCCAGGGCCTGCGTACCAGCGGGGTCCCAAGAGCCATGGCAGGGGCTGGTAGAAAACCCTTGCTGCTGTGCTCATCTTGTTCAGTCTGACCTTCACCCTCTGTCTCTCCTGAACTGTGACACATTTGCAGGCAAAACTGATTAGAAGGTTTTGCAAGGATAGGGGATGTGGGACTTGGTGGGAATTAGCAAGAGGCCTGGCTGAACTGAGTGCTTTGTTGGGGCATACTGTGTTTACTGCACAGCAGTGTGTTAAGGTGAGTTTCCCTTCCACTCAGAGGAGCTAGTGAAGATTTCGATCCCTTGCAAAAGCTTTTGTACCTTCTCTACAGAAGGGAGTTCTAAGTCATCCTTGTTCTCTTGGATGGGTGCAACAATTTTCTAGTTGTTCATTTTAAATCTTATTTTACTTCTTCGAGAGCCATACTCAATGCTTTGGTGGAAAAACCAAACTGCCAACAACTTTTGGCTAGTTGCTGGTCTGCTGGGCAGAATTCCTGCATCAGCTCAGATGCTGCCAGGGCAGTTTATGGAAGTTCATGTAGGTTTATGGACTTTCATCTAATGAATGTAAAGTTTATGAGAGTTTGCACTTTGAGACGAGGTAGCTGCCAGCTAGCAGCGTTCATGACCTTACCACCTTGTCTACAAAGTTCCCTGTTGCCCATGGCACTCATTGATCAGACTAGTGGTCCACAAAGAGGTTTTCTTCACCTACCTTCATCCTCTGCATGTCCTTCCTGTCTGTGGTGGTCTTGGCTGCTGTCTAAACTGGTGATCACAACTGGGTCGCTGGAATGCATGAGAATGATCAAATGGGTGAGGAAAAGATTTCTGAGGAAGAGAGACTTGCTTGTTTCATTTCAGCTAGGCTGCTTTCCACTTTCCATTTTCCATAACAACTTCTTTCAAACAAAGCATTTAATTTCCCTGAAGTTCAGGCTCATCTGAAGAGCCTTCCATCCGTACATGATCAAACACAGCTGTTTGGTGTTTGTGTAGGAACTGGGAAAGGGCAGTTACCTGAAACTGTTCTCAGCACAGGTACTCCTTGGCAGATCTACAGCACTTCTGGGGTTCTTTCATGTAGAATTATTCTTCAAGTCCATGTAGACATTCTTTTTTAGTATCAGAAGTAAAGTATTGATGGGTTAATGTATAATAAAAGTACTTCTCTTTAGCTCCAAAGTACTTTACTGATTTTTACCCAGTTATCAGCAGGTAATGCAGCCAAAAGAAGCATTTGGCTGTCATACAGTGATGGTGTGATTGGGGCATACACAGTTCATACAGGTTTTTAAAGAGATGAAGCCTCCCTCCTTGCCGAAGTCCAAGTGTTTTCCCTGGTGTCTCTACTCTGTTGCTGCCTGGTGCCCTGGCAGGCACTGTGGGGAGCACAGTTGGTTCATGAGGGCTGCTCCAGCCTCAGCTACGCAGGCAAGCTGCCAAGATCCATTGCCTCCATCTCCTGTTGCGCACAGCTGCTGACAAGGTCTTACACTTTGTGGAGCAGCCATCCTGGCTGGTGCATGAAATTAGCAGAGGTAGGCACAGTGACCTTCTTGACCAGCTGGGATCATGGCATCTTGCACAGGTGTGCAGCAAAGATGGGCTGTGGGCTGAGGTGGAAGGGCAAAGGAAATGCCTCCCTCAGACTCAGCTGCTGCCCACCCACCATGCCTGTGGTGAGGGCTGGCTGGGGCCAGGGTACTGATGCTGTACGGTGCTGTGCAGACATCCAGGAGCTGGAGGATCTGCTAAAAGGCAGAACTGTAAGGACATTCACAGTTTCATGGCATGAATGCAGAAACATGCATGGAAAGATGGACTATGAGGCATTCGCTTGGTGTGGCTGCCTGATGTGTGGCTGGGCAGGAGACTCTCCATGACACCTTGCACTTACAGGCAGGCAATGGCTGCTGGCAGACAGTTTTCTCTGGGATCACAGAAGCTCCCCTTGCCTGTGTTTCAAGCCCATCTCAGGGGCCCACCTGCCACTTTTTGGGGGTAGGGATCCCAGAGAGCATCCTGCCACTTAGCAGCCAGGTCTGAACAAGTCCTGCAACCATCCCCACACAAACACACTGCAAACAGGGCTGTAAGTCCACAACCAAGAGTGTTTATGGGGAATCACCACTGTTTAGGTGTGCAAGGCCTTCTGAGCTCCATGATTTCTCACAGATTTTATGTGGAGGACTCTTTCTGTGCTTTTGTGTCAGCACCCTGTGTCTGGCATTTGAACATGTATAATCTTTAAAAGAATAAAAGAGCATTGTCACTGTTTCTTGCACTCATGCCATGTATTGAGCAATTAGAGCAGCAATAGGGTGCATGGGGAGAAGCAACCAGATTTCCTATGTGTTCCAGCTGTGGGAGGAACTCAGGGTAGGAAAGAAGCTTTGAAGACCCTTCTGGGGCTCTACAGTATGAATACAGACCTGTCTCTTGACATTAGTTCAACTCTTGCCCTTTGTTTTTCTTCAAAGAGCACCAGCAGACTCTGCTGAGTTCAGGTGAGGGCAGTGGAAGGTGTTAAACTGCTGGGCTGTGTCCACCTGGGCACTTCAGGAATTTCTGGTCCCAGCTGGCTTCACAATTTAAAAGGACTAGGCTACGAGCCTAGCAAGAGAGCAGGATGGTTGTTGTAGAGTGGTCTTGGGCTGCATCAGGAGCTATGCTCTTCTGGGTGTTTCTTGGCCCCCTGACTTTGGTTCTGGGGGCTCCTATCAGTGTTTTTTCTGATCCTACCCTGCTGACTTGTGGCCAGAAAAGCTTACAGCTCACCTTACCACAAGGCTGGGAAGGGAATGTTTCATTTGCGCTGACTACATGGGATGAGGCAATATCAAGAGGCATTTTTAGCCATATCTTTGCCCAGATGCAGAGGTGCATGGAAGGAGGGGAAAGGAACAGATTTTGATGTGCAGTGCTGTTGTACTTTACTGAAGTTCTGTGCATGTTGCATAATCTGGGGGATGTTTATATGACACAGCAGTCAAGGACTTGGTGAAGTGCTGTGCCTGGATCTAGATGTCTTGGCTGCTGGATACTCTCACTGCTGTTCCAGACCCTAATATTGTCTAGGTCCCTATTTCCTACAGAAAGTTAGGATTGTAGTGGGTCTTATCTGCAATGTGGGACTCTGAAGCCCCTGCTGCTGTGTCCTCTTTCCCTAGATACTGAAGGGAAGGCACATGCTCTGCAGAATGACTTTGGCTGTGGGCTCTTGGTATCTGGGACTCCAGAAGGCTCCAGGAAAATACCAGTCTCTTATGCAGGCTGTTATGTCTTTGAGTGGGTGAGTGGCTTTAGGGATTCTGCTGGGACTGTAACTACTGCTGCTCTGGCTGTCCTGACTGGTGTGGCTTTTCCCTAGGATCACAATTACTTTATACTGGTTGGGCTTGAAGGAATAGATGCTGCTGGGCAAAAGGTTCTTCATGAAGAGACTGCTCAGGTGCCCTGTGGACCTTCCTGGTAAGATACAAGCACCTGTCAGAATCTTCTGATGATCAGTACCATTCCTTTCAGATGGCTGCTCCTAGTCAGTTTGGGGGCTAGGAAAGGGGACTTACGGCTGTGCAGAAATCTCCATGAAAAAAGATTTGGACATAGGGGCCACCAAATTGCTAAGGACTTGTGCATCTCTGCAGGGTCAGCAGGTGAATATGTACATCATGTCTCCCAGCCATATTCTGGCTACATGAGTTCAGCATGTTCAGTGAATTAACTGGAGACTAGGTACAATGGTTTTCTTAATTACCACGAGTCAATCTAGAATGCCTTATCTTGACAAATCCAATGTAGGTCCAGTTTCTTGTACATGGCCTCAGGGGAAGTCTCTGCTCCATGGAAATGCAGGTCCCTCCTGAGCAGGCTTCCATGCCAGATCCAGGCCGTGTGGCTGACCCTCACCTAACTCTCACTTCCCTTGATTTGTATGCAGAATCACCAGGACACCTTCAGCCTGTGTCCTTCATGTCTTTGTCCCCCTGCTCTTGTGCTTTATCTGCAAAGACCTGCTGGTTTTTCCAGCCCTGGATGCTCCAAGCACCAGTGTCTGTCTGGCTGTTCCCAGCCAGGACCGGCTGCCGTGTGCCTCCCTGCCCATCAGCCAGGGAGACTGAATCACGAGGCTGCTGCTATGACCCCAGAGACAGGGTGAAACCTTGCTACTTTGATAACACAGGTAAGCCAGAGCACCTGTTCTCCCTCCCTCCTGAGCTGCTGTAAAACAGGATTTCTGATTTTACTGGCAGGGCAAGCCAGCACTTGGTGTGTACCACTCCTGCAGGTGGCTCAGGGCCATGTTTTTGGCTGCCAGGAATATCATGTCCCAGTCAAGTGTCCAGCATTTTCCACTCTATTGCAACACACCTGGTTTTATGCCCAGCATCGGTGTTGTTGTTGGAACTGGCTGCACTTGTCTTGCCATACTTAGCACTTGTTTTGTGGGTTAAAGGCAGGACATCTTGCAGGACTTGCTGGTCGTGTCTTGGTTGTGATGTTAGAGCATCCTTCCCATCTCTCTTATCTCTGAGCTCAAGGCTGATTCCATCTTTTTCTCCAGTGACAGCTCATTGCACACCAGATGGCCAGTTTTCCATTGCTGTTTCTCGAGATGTCACCCTGCCACTTGTTGCCCTGGGCTCAGTGCAACTGGCCAGTGGACACAGTACTGGCTGTGTCCCTGTCCTAACAAACAATGCCTTTGTTGTGTACCAGTTTCCACTCTCTGCCTGTGGCACTACTTTTCAGGTAAGAGCTGCAGCTGTTGCTAGGCTGGAAGAGCTGGAACAGCCTGCCATGGCTTTGGCTGCTCAATGGACATCCTACAGACTTGCACAGGCCAAATGCTGTTTTCCAGCTCATACTGATCCAACCTGACTTTACCACAGTGATGGTTCCTATCTGTCATTCCAGATGAATGCAGACCAGGCCATATATGAGAATGAGTCGGTGGCAAGCAGGAATGTGAAGACTGGGAGCCTTGGCTCTGTCACTAGGGATAGCATTTTCAGGTATTACCCTGGGGCTGATGTTGCTGGGTGTTCCTGGGTTCAATGTCACTAGAGAAATTCCTGCTTGTCACAACCTCTGATTTCACATGAGGGCCCTGGAGTAGGTTAAAGACCAGTGTATCTCTAATTAGTAAGAATAAAGCTGGAATTGATCAGTAACAATCTGCAGATTCTCAAATCTAAACACTAAAGAGAATTTCAAGTATTTGTTGAAAGGAAGTGACAGAAGAAAGGGGATATAAGTAATTAAAGCAGATGATAGGTTGCCATATTGGAGAAAGGGGATATCAGAGTGGCTTTTCTTATTTGCCTGATTTGGAGCTTTCCTTTCCCACCAGGCTATATGTCCGATGTACTTATTCCATCAGTGGGAGCTCTGTTCCCTTGAGTGTTCAGGTCTTTGCATTGCCACCACTCCCTGCTGTGTCCCAGCCAGGTCCTCTGTCTTTGGAGCTGCGTGTTGCCTCAGGTAGGAGAGGTTTGCAGGACCTGCTCAAGGCTCTCGGAGCAGGGCTCTGGTCTCTGATGTCTAACAGTGGAGTATTGATGGGTTAACCCAGCACTGCTTCCCTGCCATGGTGGGAACTTACTGATATGGCTCTAAAGGATGCCTATTCCTGCTTCTTGCTGCTCTTAAATGGCTCTTGGGTTTCTTCTGTCCCAGATGGAAGCTATACTTCCTACTATATGGACAGTGACTCCTGTTGTGAAGACTCTGACAGACCCTGTTTATGCAGAGGTCAAGATCCTTCAGAGGACAGACCCAGACCTGATTTAGTTCTGCACCACTGCTGGGCCAAGCACCAACCCCCAGCAACAGCAGCAGTGGCCAATTTTGGTGGATGGCTAAGTGACTTGTAAAAACTTTGGGTCAATGGAATAACTTGTTCTTTTTCACTGCTTACCTTTCCTCCCCAGGTGCCCTTATGCAGGCAACAACTATCAGACACGGCTGATGCCTCCAAGTTTCACCTCAGGACTACTGTTGCCCTCTCATTACCGGGTTTCACTCTCTACACATTCACCTCTGTGGGCTCCACTTCCCATGAGAAACTCTCTGGGTTGGTAAGATCCTGTCCTGCCTGCCTAGTTTCATACTGAAGTAAAATGTGTGAACAATAAGAACCACTTCATGACTATGAGTCTTTTGGCCTCCTTGGGGGAATGGGGCCAAGACTAGGAAGATCCCCTGCTGAAATAGAAGGGGAGAGGTTAATGCCAAAAATCTCATTCCCTGAAGTGAATGTGATAGAAGTAAGAGACATCACTTTTGGAGTGTGACAGAAAATGTGACTACTAGAAGGATAGTAGTGTACCTAAGCAAGCGCTAGTTTGTCTGGTGAATTAGCTTAGGATGTGTGCTCTAGCTACACTAATCAATATTCTCTAAACTACATTTCTTGCCCAAAATTACTTGGAAATAAATTTTGAGTACATTTTTAAGCATCTGGGCTCTGAATCTCATTGAGCCCCTCCAATTAAGTCACATGAAATTCACACTGCCATCTACTGTTTGCTCAGCTCTCCTGGCATCGTTTAATACCCAAAATTGGTCTCAGCTGTACTTAAAAAGGTTCCCAGTGAAGTGGTACCCGGGCAGCAGTATTGCAGGTGTCAGGGAGAAGCGCTGTAATGCCGGATTGGCCCGAGCTTGAAAGTGTATGGTGTAAAGGTTTCAAAGCTGCCTCAGAGCGGACAGCAGAGGGCTCCAAGGCTGCAGGCTGGGTGTGAAACAAGCCAAACAGACCTTCCTGCTTTCCCCCTTAAGGACCAGGCCCATGGTATGGAGCTACCTCTCCTCTTAGCAGCCCATATGGTGCTGTCGCTTTGAATTTGTCCCTAAAACAGTGTTGAAAGCAGATATTCTTGCTGACTGCTGAATGGCACTTGCAGAACACCAAGACTTTCTCTTCATTCTGCTGTTTCTCAACCCCAAGTGAGTAGGCATGGGACAGGCTAGAACCTGGGAGGCAGCAGAGGTGACTCAAAGTGGCCAAAGGATTATTCCATGCTGCATGATTTTATGCTCAGCAGTGTAAACTTTGGGGGATTTCATCTTCCAGCATAGCTGATGCCCCAACTGCCTGGGCACTGACCTGCCTGTAGGAGCAGAGCAGGTGACTTGCTTTTACATCACTTGTGCTTTAGGTCTTTTCTTCCCTCTCCTCCTCTCCTTCACTTCTTTAACTGTCTTCTCTCTCCAGCTACAGGTTTTCTTGCTTTTGCTCTTCCTATTCTTTTTCTGCCCTGCTGGGGCAGAGTATGGGGAGTGAGTACGCAGCTGTGTGGGCGCTTAGCTGCTGGCTGGGGTCAGTGCAGCACACTAGGATATCACCAGGCCCCAGACAGTGCCTGAGGGATTTCAGGCTGTTCCATTTCTCTCTAGGTGTACCTGCACTGCAGTGCTTCCGTGTGCCACCAGTTTGTAAAGGAGTCCTGCATCCCCTCTTGTCCTTCCAGAGTCAGTAGGTGTCCTGGCCTTCTGCTCCCTCGCCAAGAGGCAGCAAGGGCCTAGTCTCCAAGCTGGGGAGGAGGAGTCATGTAGCCCATGGAGTAATTCCCTTAAGGCATGGACAGCTTGAGAAAGCATTTCCTGCTCCTTTCCACTGACTAAGGGCTCTTCTTATGCCAAAAAGTCAGAGGTCTTCATGGCTTGTTAGCTCTATGTGGGCTCACATGGAAACCGTGCCTTCAGCACTTTCCGTGTGTTGGGAAGCTGACCTGGACAAAGTTTGCTGACCTTCAGAACTCTACTTCTTCTTACCTACAACCTTCATGTTGCTCAGGAAGGTCCTTCCCATGTCTCCAGCAAAGGCCCTGTATTTTCCTCCAGCATGAGCTAAGACAGGACACAGCCAAGGATGGCCTTGGTAAGAGTGGTAGCAGGGCAGGGGAAGGGCCCTGGTCTAAGGCTTTTCTGCAGAAAAGCTGAGTCCCTCAGGCATCCCTGTGCTCACTGGGAGCATTCATTGGGGTGTCTCTCCCCACAGGAGCAGCTGTGCTTGTTGCAGCCCCCTTGGCTCTGGGATTTGCTGCTGTGGCAACTGGGACAGCTCTGTGTGTGGTGCATGTGGTTTCTGTGCTGTGCCAAAGGAAGGTGTCAGCCATGCATGAAATCAATAGATTGCAATAAAGTGACTGTCAAACCAATTTGTTTGGTGGGACCCCTTCCCCTGGAGACCCTAGCTGTATTTGCAAGGCAAAAACTACCCCAGTGGCTGTGCAAGCTTTCCAAATGCTCTGAATTCATCTCACTCTGGAATTCTTCTCTGTTTGGTGTTACTGGTCTGCCATAGACAAACTGGAGACCTTGTCAAGGCCTGGGCTGCAGACTGAGGCAGGATTGCTGCTGGGAGATGTTGACATTTCTGTTAATGAATATAGTGGCTTTCAAAAGTAGTGACCTAAGCTCCAAGCTCACTCAATGCAGATCCTGCAGCTGCTTCTCTGGAGATGCAGAGCAGTTATTTTGACTCTGCTGAGGAGCTGGGACTTGCCCACTTGTCCCTAAGTCACTAGGTAAGGTACGGCTGTGCTCATGTGGCAGGACTGGAAAACAAGGATGCCAAAGCACTACACAAATGGGCCTTGCTAATGATGCTGTGCATGAACTTGCCTTTCTTGCCCTAGAAACAGAAAAGGGTAGGTGGCATTTTTCTGGTGAATGAGAACATGGAAACTTCATATCAACTGGAAAAAAAATAAAAGGGCCTAGGTGGTCAGAAATTCAGGGGGAAAAACATCTAACTTTACTTAGAGCTACTCTTAAGCTTTAATGTGACAACAGGCAATTAGGAGTCTTCAAAGGTCTTGGATCAAGGCTAATTTGACATCGCTGTTAGCATACAAGTGTTTTTCCTAATTTTTAACTTGTTTCTTTTAGATGAGAAAAAAGCCTTGCCTTTTTGAACATCAGGGGTGGTTCAGTGTGCTGTTGTCAGTCCCAGCAGCTGGGCAGCATCCCTCTTGGCTTTCTGAAGTCCTGGCTGAAAACAGTACAGCAGAGCTCTCTGGGCAGTAGAGGGGAAACAGGACTCCACCTCCTCCTTCCTGCCCAGCCTGGGGCAGCTCTGGTGCTTGCACTTACACCGAGATCTGCTTAAAGCTGATGGGGTAGTCCTTGAGGGGAAGGAAAAATACTTTTCCCTTTTTTCCTCTAAGGCTTAATTATAAATTCTTCCTGTTAAGGGCAGGAGAGAAGCCTTAATTGTATTGCTTTGGGGCCTTTAAAAGGGAGGATTAGCACTTATACGTGGAAGAAAAGAACTGATCAGTAACTTGCTTGAGGCAGTAGACCTTTTTAATTAGGTTCTGTTGATCCTGTGTGATTGGAGTGTGTTAATGAGCAGTGGGATCTGTGTTTTACCTCCTTTCCTATTCCAAGAAACTTCAAGAGTAATCTTATGTTTTTATTTTTCTAGTAGAAATGCTTTTCCCTGCTACTGTTAGGACAACCAGTGATCTTCTTCTTGTGTGCTTTCAAAATCTAACTAGATGAAAAGACTTTTCCGAGTTGTATGGTGGGAGGGAGAAGGAGATCATGGGCAGGAAAAAAACGTCATCTGAAGACAGGTCAAACAGCCTCTTACTTTGGAGCAGGCTTCTGGCAACTAAATGACCTTGGTACAGGTGGAGGTCTGTCTGGGAAAGCTGAGTGTCAGCTCATAATGTGCCTCATGACAAGTCTTTAGTAGCAGTCTGTAATGTTATTTAACTGGGCAGTTAGAGGAGTAATTTAAACCACACCTCAGTGCACCAGGCAGGGTGCTCTGGCACTGGTCTTAACTGTGTGCGTGTAAGCCAAGACCTAAACACCTCCTGTTTGCTACTGGAACTTTCCTTTGCCCCAGTAAGGGAAACAGAAATAATTGCTTAGAGAGCTCAGATGACTGTGGGGATGCTGAAGGGGCTGTGAGAGTCAAGCCTCTGCTGCCCTTTGTTGGGTTACTGAACCATCCCAAAGTGGCAGGGAGCTCTGGGTGTGTATTCTGTGGGAGAGTCCCCTGCAGGCACTGTGCCTTTTGGTGCAGAGCTGTGTGTAAGAGGCTGGTATGATTCTTAGTGTAGGGTAGTGTAGTGAAAGTTACAGAGACAGAACTTTTCTGAAACTGAAATAAAAGTGCTGGTTCTATTCAGGTTTAGAGGGAAGGTTCACAGGAGTTTGTATTTTTTCCCCAGCTGGTTCACCATCTATTTTAGATGGAACTCTTTGATCTCTTCTCTGCTTTGTGTTTCTTTCAGTTTCCCAAACAATAGGAGGAAGCTCTCCTGTTACATATGCTTGGGCCCCAACCAACCTTTTCCCAGCTGGAAAAATCACTCCATGTATTACAGAGGATTTTTTTTTCCAGCTGTGATTATAAGATTCCCAGTTCCCTTATGCTTTTTGTAAGGTAGGTAGAGGCTGTCTTAAGGGGAACAATAGGACATTCCTGAGTGCTTAAACAACTGCTGTTTCCCCACCATCACCCCCTCTAAAACTGGAGGAGGACTTAAGCACATTTGAGCTGTTCCGCTGGAGGTTACTGAGACCTCAGCTGAAAAAACATACAGGGAGGTGCACAGTTCCATGTAATGATCCTGCTTTGGTGACTAAGATACCCAGGCTCTTCCTGTTACCTGATTACACGCATAAACACTCCACATTCACCAGACTAGCTGGGAGGACTTGGCAAGTGCACAGGGAATATCTGTGCAAGCAGAACTGTCAGATGGACGTGCACAACACAGTTTAGTTCAGAGGCCAGGCTACAGCCAACCTGCTAGACAAAGTTGCCCAAGGGAGGAGCATGGATCCCTTAATCGAAATAAGACCTCATACTTGACCCAAATATTCATCTACAGCAACAAACGGTCCCACCCATAAGCACACACTCAGCAAACTTCATCTCTCCTTCCTCTGACAAAACCATCCAGCTGATCCTGACTGTCTCATCCCAACACACATCAGGTACAATATGGTTGGTCCCACTGGAGGAAAGGTGGGAAAGTGGACAAAAGAGAACATTAGTGCTGACTGCAATGCTTAGGAGGGAGAAGAAAGACAAATAACTAGGCTATAGACAGGTCTGGCTAATTGTCATCATCCCCTTGCCCTGCTGGGGAGAAGCCCCTTATTTTAGTGACCCTAATGTTTCCATGATTTTCACATGGGTAACATCCACTTGGGATTCTGGATCATCTGGGCACTAAGGAAGCACACACTACTGCTAGCCAGGACCAGCATATGGAATGGAAATAAGTTAAGGAGTGGTCTTCTCCAGACAGCAACAACCAGAGCTAAAGCTTCTACCACCTCCTCCCAACACTAAGTGAAAATCTCCCACAGTATCCTCTCACCTATACAACTGTGGGCAGGATCTCTTCAGAGCAGGAGAAGACAGCCCCAGCTTGTTCTGGTTTGTCAACCTTGTCTTCCTCATAAGATCTCTCATTCTCCTCCAAGCATGGCTCTCACTCTAGGGAGCAAAAAGAAACCACAACTTAAAAGACCAGAGGCAAGTTGCTGGCAAACTTCATCTGGTCAACACATGATGCTTTGGGATATTCCAGGGTAGTGGGAAAAGGGAAATTTCTTTATTTCAGACAGATAGGGGTCAGGGCCCACAAAAGAATTTTTAACACTGCAGTGATGCCCAGTGGCCGGTCTGCACCTGTATATGACAAGGAGACAAGATTGATGAACTCTGAGTAATACCATCTTTTTCATATTTTGCTTGGTAACATTTCTCTGCCTAGGACTCTGCTGTTCTTTCTGATTTAGTATTTAAGAGAGTGAGATGCCCTCACTGGTGAATGCTGAATAGCTGCCTAAGAGCACATTTTACTCTATTGTTATGCTATGCTAAAGGAGAAAATTGGATTTGTTTCCTACCTACCTACCTGCATGCAGGGGGCCTTTATAATGAAACCCAAAAAGGCAGTTTGACTGTCTTATCCTTTCTACTAGGCCAGGTGCATTGGTATCGACCTTTTTTAAGGTGGTAGCTTTTGTGGAACACGGAATCAGGAGATCAAGCCTTTGTTTCCCTGCAAGCCACAGCTATTGGCCTTACATTTGAAATGCTAATAGAGATTATCAGGAGGTCAGGGAGTCTCAGGAGGCCATCTCTAATCTTTGGTCCCTCCAGCCTGGGCTTATCTGGACCCGTGAACTAAATGGAGCTCTGAATAAAAAAAAATTAATTTCTTTTTTCCAATATTGTTTTACATTTCCTAAAGTGATGACTGGAAAACCTGGGGAACAGAACAAAAATTATCATGTACCAGAACTAGCATAACGGAGAGAAATTATTCCCATTTCAGTGAATTTCTCAAATCATTGTCATGTTCCTGACATTGTTTTGCCGTGTCCCGAGGTTCCTCCTCACTGTGTGCTGGTGCTGCTGTGCCACCAGCAGAGCCATTACTACAGGAGTTGTGGCCACCTTGAGAGCACAACCCGGCAGCTGCCCAGCCACACTTACCAGCCCCAGCAATGCCTATTGCAATAGTTCTTCTTGGGAATCTGCAAAGTTTTCAGTTCGAAACTTCAGATGAGGCCATGGCTCAGCTGAGAACTGCAACACCTGATTCAATGCTACTGAGTTAATTGCCTGTAAGCAAGACTGTTTACTCAAGGAAATAGCAAACCTCTGTGTTTACTGCTAGGATTAATGTATGCTGTTGAAGGGTTTTGAGGCCTCGGCAGTTAGTCCCTCGTTGTGCTGGTGATGTCTTGGACAAGCAAGCACTGCTGATACCGCAGAAAGCCTGAGCAGCTGATGTTCCTGTCGTCCATGAGAGTAAACTTTGGGGGTGAGTAAACTCTTTTGTTCATACAATGGTGTGCACTACACGGGCTTACTCACTGATAATGTAGACACAAGTTAAATATATTCTGCAAAGGCAGTACATACCGAGATGTTCTTGCTGACATCCAGAGCCTAAAAACAAAAGGGAAATACGTTGATAAATAACAGGACAGCGAGACCAACTCACAGCATTTGCAACAGACTGTTCTCTGTTTTCAGCTCTGCACTGGAATGTACTCATAGGCTTGGTTGAGTCCTTCATTTCTTTTTAGACTCAGTCCCCCACAAGTGTGATAATCCCTTCTTTCTACTTCCACCTCTCACCTCTCTTTTGTATTTAAACTGCCAGTTTATGTGTCTAGTACCTAGTAGCCTGGGCATGAGTGTAAGAGACAGAATTCCCATACAGTACAGAATTCCCCATACAGAATTCCTACAATACCTGCACTGCAGGAATAAACGGAGCCTTTCATGTTCAGGGTACAAAATCCAATACTAAGTGACAATACTAAGGTGTGATGTAACAAGAGAGGATGAGGATTCAGGTTAAAGAGCATGGATCTCAATTCTGTGGTCCTGTAAAGTCATCAGAAGTTCCCACATGCTTAAAATGCTCCGAAAGCTGGCTGGACACAGGGCAGAGCATGGAGCACCTTTCAGGCCTCAGCCTTAATTTGGGTTCTGAAGTTCATTGAAGTGTTTGTGACCCATTTGCAACTTAAGGGTGGAAATTTCATGAGGTCTTTCCCATGAGAGACCTACTCCTTCCTCTTTACTGTTTGCAGGGCTGGGAATACTCTGATTAGAGTCTCTGCTCTGGCATTTCAGCACTTCTGAACCCCACCAGAACATGAAAGTGCTGAGGCAGGCACAAACAATGGGAAAGAAAGGGAGAAGAAAGCATTCATCCTCACTCTCTTGGACTTCAGTGACACAGATTTGCTGAAACACATTCCCTGGAACATGCTTTGAGGACTGGAGCTAATTACATTGATATGCTGCCAGTCTGGTAATAAGTGTGACCAGCTAAGGATTGATCCATTAAAATTTTTATTAGTGTTAATGAAAACTTGGTTTAATCTCACTAGCATCATTAGTGGAGACACTTATGGCTGAGTCCACACAGTAAGTTATTTGGAGCTGGTGAGGTTGAATGAGCACCCCGTGCTGCTGTCTGCAGTGCTCCTCTCCCCTGCACCAGTGATCCATTTGTGCCTTTCTTGGCATATAGACATAGTCCTTCTTCATTTAAGGCTGGGAGTAGAGAGACACAGATCCCCCTAACCCTCGCTGGCCCAGTTCCACTCAGTAGCAGACAAGGCTGGCTTGCTGTCCTGGCACCTCACTATCATCTGCCTGAGCAGAACTTCTCTCTGCTTCTCCCACAGGTCCCACTCAGAGTTAGGTTCCAAGCTTATCACTCACCTTTCTTACTGCAGGGTCCCTTGACAGAAAAGCCTGTCCCTCTGCCATACTCCCAACTACCCTGAACTCATTCTCCTTGTTGTTCTTATTGTTTGCTGACTTCCTGAGCCCCATCGTCGGCTGGCTCTTTCCTGATTCCAGATATCTCTCACTTCCTGCAATGAAATGCAAAGGCTTATTTCTTGGCAGTGTCCTGCTAGGTTGGCCTCTGGGCAGTGCTGGCAGCAAGTTATGACTTCAGATGGGATGAGAACCCTAAGGACTTAAAGATGGGATAAGACCCCATGTGATCCCAAAGGCTCTGACTCAATCCTGCAATGAAGTTGTTCTATGTTTCACCAGGTATTAGAAAAAAGCTGAAATCCAAGGTTTGAAATAAACTGATCAGGCTCATTTAGTGACAGACTAGCAGACTTTTCATCTGGCTTTATCATCAGTAGGCTGAGCCCAGTTTCTCAGCCATCTGGAAAAGCTGATCTCTGGATCCAGGCTTTGCAGCTGGGGCTTATTTCCACTTGTTCTATAGAATAAGTCACCCTCCAGGAATTTGTTCCGTGCCTACGTGAGAGAGTAGACGACTAACAACATGCATAAGGTTTTCCATCTTAGATCAAATCCTACCTTGCCTGGGTGGAAGGGGGCTCCACTAATGGTCCCATTCAGGCCTGCTAATTTTCCAAGAGATCTATTTTATAATTCACTTGTCCTAATCTTTACAGCTGCAGCTGCAAAGCAAAAACCTCAATTCACACACATGAAGCAGCCAGTGTTAAAATCCTAGGTACAGAGAGAGTATTTTAAATTGCTTCTCTTGGATTTCAGCTAGGGTTTAGTTCTACTAAAACCTTGCTCGGTTCCCAACTGTCTTTCCTTGGGAAAAGAAAGTGGCTGATCTGCTTGTTTGACCAAGTGGTGGCAAACGGGAGGGCATGTTAGAGGTATTTGAACTCGCCATTGCAGCTGCTCAGCTTCTCGGTGTTTGCTCCTATTTCTGGGATGATGGAAAGATCAGAAGGGTTTCCAGTCTGAACCAAAAGGCTGTGAGGTCTGCTCCTCCCAGCAAAATTTGTTTCCATGTCTTGATATGACTTAAGGAAGATACTGGCAGCTCCACAGGAGCAATGCTGCAGAATGTATTCCTGTACCAGACAAAAAGAAAGTATGCAGGCTCTCAGACTGCAACAACCCAAGGTAATGGATGATGTGACACTCCAGAGGAATTGTAAACATTCCAGCCCAGGGATGTCCATCCTTGTCCTAGGACCCACCAGAACCCAGACAAATTATTTAATTCTCTAAAATGCTGAACAGCCTGTAGTTAGTAACACAGAGCTTTCATGGCTTCATTAGCATTTAACTTAAATTGCCTGATACTCAGCATCTTTTCAGTTTGTTTCCCAGAAGGAATTGAATATGAGTTTCTAAACAGAGAGCTGCTCAGAGGCATCAGTGTAAATAAACAGATCAGTTACAACAATGACTCATATTTTAAGATGTTATTTGCTTTGGAGTATGCACAGACAACAATATCTTGTATTTTTATTGATGGGATGCCACAGTTTTCTTGCGTGTTACCGGCCAAATGGACTGTATGTGGTATTTCAGTCAGTGTACTTCTGCTGTTGCTGGTGGGGTGAGGAAGGGGAGATTTTCTTGTACCTTGCACAACCCTGTTGCAGAAGAGTTTAGTAGGGTAGGAAGGAAGGAGAACTTTATCCAGCTGAAGCAGAAAGGGAACCAAACTGTTTACTGGTGTTGGAACCAGGACAGGCCAACACCAGTTTAGCACCTCTAGAGACCCCCAAGAAACTGACAGTTTCAATGTCACTTCTCATCTGCATATGTTGTTACAGCAGTGTAGTACTTTGCATTATCAATACCTTTGGGAGATGCTTAGCAAATCTGATGAAAGATGCTGGTTTTGGCCCATGGTATTATAGATTTCCCTGTAAAGAAAGGATGTGGAGCAGCAGTGTTCCCTTTGTGTCCCAGGATCAAAGCCATCATTTCTGTGGTGATGTCTGTACACCTCTCAAGAACAGCATTGCGAGCATTGGGTATCTACAGTCCTCGTGACCAGCTCTTGATACCATGCTAACCCCATGTTTTGGGGGTTGTGTCTTCCCTAGCCATGTCTGGGACATGGAAACCTTTCCATGCTCATAGTCTACATGGAGAGTGAACGTGGTTTGTAAAGGAGTCTTTGGACTCCTCCAAATTATGGATGGCAATCTTCATGTTTCATGGCCAGTGTTCCTCTTCAATTCAGAGGGGCTATGACTGAAAAACAAAATGATGGAGAGCTGCTCAGATGTAGGAGATCCAGGCTCCACAGGATACCTGAGAGTGTCCATTTTTTTAAACCACGCTGCAAGCACTGAATGTTACATCTGAGAATACAATTCCCCACTGAACAGTATGACACAAATGCATCTGAGAAGACACTGCTGAGAGACCTTCAGAAGTACCAAAAAGATCAAAGTTTCAAATATTTAAATGAAAGCACAGTGCCTTTCATTTCAGTGGGAGCTGGGGAGGGGGCATGTACACCAGTTGATTTTGCAGCTTGGAAGAGTTACTTTGAGCAATGACTCACAGTTGTAAAGCTTCAGGAAATATGTTAATAATTCCCAGGCTCTATGTAGGAGGCTGCATTCCTCTGAGTGTGAGAGATGGGTACATGGAAATGACAAGCTACTCTGCTCTGCAACCTGACTCAGAACTTGGCTTTGGCTCTGAGGAGGAGTCAGTCACCTACTGCAGATCCAGTCCCAGCAGGTGGGAGAGCAGCACCAGGGGAACAATGACGCTTTCAGGAGAATAAAAGACTCACCACAGCACAGCTTGGAAGAAATAGCTGAGTGTGATAAGCCCTTTCTGTTCCTTTGGGGAGTGTTAAAATAAACAAAAAGGCAGAGGAGGAAAAAAGATAGAAATCTGGTGTGATGGCTGAAGAAGAGGTGGGGGAGAGTTTAATAAAATATGCAGGGACTAAAAAATGCTGATGGAAATGTTGGAAGACTCTGAAATTATTTGCAAATTTCAGTCAGATTTTCCAGCTACCTCTGGCTGATAAAAATGACAAATGGGAACACTGAAATGGTTTAATGTCAGAGATTTTTCATCTGTTAGCTTAGGAGCACAGGAAGTGAAAAAAAGCATGGAGCTGGGTCATGGTATTGCTGCTTCTCTTTCCCCTTGTGTCTATTTTGTGAAAAATTCTGGAATTTTGACAGTCTGAAAACAGAAGGAAATGTAAGATCTTATAAATCAAAATACAATTGCTAAGGAGCTCTGTGCATTTTGTTTTGGTAGCATTGAGGAGAGGAGATGCATTCTTGGGAAGTTTACAGCTTAGAGAAGAAAAAATTACTGACTTAGAACAGGCCACTGTATGAGGTGAGAAGTGTGCTTTTTAACTCAAAGAGGCAAGCACATTTGGGAAACCAAATTGTATAAGACCAGAAACTCAAGCCCAGCCTCAGGAAAGTAAACCCACTGTGGTGTGTGAGGCCTCCCTAAAGACCAGAGTGCCCAGTCCAGGTGGGTGCTGGATGTGGTAAATTGACATCTTCCCGCACACAGAACTTTCTGTTTGGGCCTTGAGTTTATTATTTAAGATGTATTACTCAATGGAAGATACTATGGTATCTGCTTTGGATACTATACTATCTGCCTACCTCTTTATCTGACTCATCTTCTGCTCTTTCTGCAACCTGCACACTTGTTTTTGGAGACGCAGGTTGTGCTCCTGAAGCTGCCCAATCTTCTCAATCAGTTGGCAGATGTGTTCTAGGTATCCCAGACCAGATCCCAGCACTTTGCTGTTACTTTGGTTCACCTGCAATGACGATAGATCTTGGACCATGGAGTAACAAGAGAGCAATTCTTACTAGGAGCTGAGAGCCCTGCACACTCCTTACAGGCACGTCCTGTGATAAAGTCAGGCTTCCTCTTGCAAGGCGCTTTGGTCTTACCACAGTTTTGAGCTACAGCATTATTTGCTGAAGCTCTTTTCTGGATTACTCAGCAATTTCCACTGTCAGAGGGACTCTTCTGACTGATCACAGGCTGATGCAGAGGAAAACCTCATGACAGCCTGTTTCTAGTTCCACCTCCCAGGTTAATTTTTGGGTTTTACTGGCATCAGAAGTCTTACAACAAATATGGTTCAACTGTATGCAATAGTATGGCTCATTAGCCCACAATCCTCAGTGCAAGTCACACTTTTGTGTACTGAAGCTGGGCTTAGCTCCTACCCAAAGACATGTATCTGCAGGTTGCATTGATTTGCTGAGTTTTGACCAATTTGGGAGTACACTTTGTCTGCTGTGCTCTGGTCCTTATCACTGGTGTGTCTGTGAGAGAAACATACTTGAATCAAGCTGCCAAAGTGAAAGAGTGTCTTTCCACTAGTCTTTAGTGGATCCCAGCTTACATCCCTGCTGCTACTCTCAGTCTTGAAGAGATGCCTGAAGAAAGTTTGCAAGAGCAACTTTGCTGTCTGGCTGTGGAAGGATAATCTCTACTGCTGATTTCTCTTCAACCAGGACCTGACAGAGTCTCACTGCTGCTAAGCCAAGGGCAATGCTGGAGACGGAGAGTAATCCTATGGCAGAAGAAAAGCTATGATGCTTCCCAGCCTCCTGCTCTGCACCTCACCATTTCTGGTGCCCAGACCTCCCCAAGCACAGCGAGTTTCCTCCCCTGTGCCGCGCTCAGGCTGCGTCGAACGGGCTGCTAACAAACACACGCAGGGACTCACTTCCACCTTGGCGCTGCCTGCTGATCTGCGTGTGATATCAGTGACTAAAATAAGCTTCAATCTTTACAAAAGCAGCGCTCTAAGTTTATCTTACTTCAAGAAATAAGTTCCCTCTACATAAGCAGGAAACTTACTCTGTCTCCTTTCCCACAACAATCTACATTTTTGGGGAAATGCCAGCCCTGGGACTCTTCCTGTCTTTTCATTATGTCAGAAAGCTCATGGTGTGTTCAAAAATAATCAACATTAGTATTTACTTCTTCTTAAACAAATGATGATACAACGTTATTTATAAACAGGTATTATTAAATCCAGATGCTTTTGTGTCTGAATTTGGGACAGAGGTTGTTGACTCCAAGTCAGTCATTCATTTAATGACTTTTATTTTCCTCTCAAGCAGAGCCTGCAAGAAGTGGTGGCAAGACAAAAGTTACTCAGCTGTAAAACTGAGTATTTACTGTGGCTGTGCAATGGGAAGGGACACAGCCCCAGGACCCAAAGGGAGAACAAAGCCTATGTAGTATCTGGTGGGAAAAGCTTGAATCAAAAGCACTAGAACCAACAAATCTAAAAGCAGCTAGGGATTTGGGGGTGCCCAGCTTGAGAAGCATAATTTTCAGAAAGTACATGGGTATCAACTTCTGAAAATTTAGCCATTTTGAGCTGTCTCAAAATGAACAGTAATTTTTATATACTGTTCTAATAGACAGTCAGTAGTTCCTTATTATCCCAAAATATAGGATTTCTGCTACACTGCACCCTCTTTTTGCACATCTAGCAACTCCTCTTCCTTCCAGTATGCTACTGCATGACTGCTGGCATGTCTGTACTGCCCTAAGGAGACACTGAGCCAAACCCAACCCATTATAGCTGTGGAAACACAAGGGGAGGCTTCAAGGGACACACAAGGTCTTGGATGGCATAAAACACTTGGCCCTAACTTAGCTTGGAGAAAAAGAATGAAGCATTTGATGGTGACCTCTTTCACTTAGAGACCCTCTTTTTGCTCCGTATTTGTCCTGTGCTTAATGTTGTACAGTCCTGCTTCATGTCTGTGGCTGCTGGGTGTGTAGGCCAAAATGGGCAGGGGGAGGAGAGAAGAGGGTCCTGCTTTTTCATGCTCTGTGTCTAGAGCTGAAGGCTCTGGAAAGCAAAGGTGTGTTTGGGACAAGCATGGAAAAAACGTGGCTTTTAGCAAAAGTTAGAGTAAATTCTAACTCCTGAAAGTAAATACAGGTGCCCAGAAAATGAGAGGGAAAAAGGTGTAGAGTGGGTGCTCCAGGTCTTGGGGCAAGGTGGATCTACCCCTGTAGAGGATCTAAACCAGACTGAAGGTTGGACTCAATATGCTGAAGATCCCTGCTTCACAGCCAGATTTCAGAGGCTGCTTAAGGCTGTTTGGGCTACTTAATGACAAATTAATCTGCATTTTACTGAAGTGATCTCAGAAAGCACAACTTGGGCAGAGCCTCCAGTGCTTGCACATTTCTGCATGGCCTGCCTCCTCTGTGGTCAGAATGCAATGGTGAAAACTTTTAGGGGTGTGCTTCAGCCTGCCACAGGGCTGGTTAGCATTAGGATTGCTCAGATATGGCAAGTGTTCCATACAGAATATTTGTGTAATTTAGCTGGTTGCCCCCAAAACAACTGCACAGAGAGAGTCTCTCTAGGAACCCTTCAAAGACTTTGTTTTTTTATAGACTGGAAATACCTAAAGACCCCTAGCTCTCTTTTGGTGATGCCAAGTGCACACAGACTCTGGTCTGTCATATTCTCATCTAAATATTTTCCTCTCAGCATCTGAGACAGTTTTATGCAAGTAGTGAAGAGTCAGCAACCACAAGAAAACTGCAAACATTTTCCGGGATGTCTCTTCCATTCTCTGTCCTCCTAGCTGAAGCTTCATGACTGAAATTTGTCCTACTTTCCACATGGTAATTGTCAAATAGTGTTGGAACAAAAGCTGTGTGCCCATTTTTGAGATGATGAAGCCTATGAAGAAGGAAAAATATCTTGCCTACTTTTCTGTAAGATGAAGATGTGGAGGATCATAAAGACAATTTATGAATCACATGGTTAAAGCTTCTCTAGGAAAGTAAGAATGTAATGTACAAATACATGCCAGATTTTGCTTTTAGGCATGAGACTGAGCCAGACCCTCATCTGGAAGAAACAGAGTTAAAGGCTCCCAGTTATGCTATGCTGAGTTACTCATGTTATGGTTTTTTGACCCTGAGAAGTTAAGATGTACTACATTGACTGCACACCTGTGTAACCAAAGAGGGTTCTCTGCCCTTGTCAGTGCTCACCTGACCAAGTTTTGGGCACAGGTTTTCACTATGTGTGTCCCTGGCAATAAATCATGACAGTTGTGCAGGCCCACAGATTTCTTAGGAAGCTTACAAATACAGATCAGCATCTGCACGGAGGACTTTGGCTTATCTAGAGTCCTCTAGTCAATATTTTGACTGGCATAAATCACATCTTTTCCTCTGTGGCTGCACAGCTCACAGAGGTGAGAGCCTGTCCTCTTGTTTCTGGGGAATATTGTGCTCACTGCAGCATCTGATCAACTACAAAGAGTTGAAGTTCAGTGGGAGCTGCAAGAATAAGAGTTGCTTTCAAGTCTCTTGTCCAACTGATGTATAATCAAAATCTGCATGTCTGATCATCTGGTCAGCACTTTGTCCAGCCTCATTTCAGCCACTATCTGTTACTTGGATGCATGTGATGTGCTTTTCTACAATTGGGCTCAATGGAGAACTGTCCTGGGCTGGACCTGGCAGCAGGAGCTGAAGATGACAGGCAGTTTGCAGGGGAAGTTTTCTTTGTTCAGAAAAATGCTCACTGATGTATCTTGCATTGCCTTAGATTTCTGTGCTTCACACAATGCTCTTCACTTTTCTTGTGCATAGTTTTGGGTTATACTAGGCTGCATCTTGCCATGCATCCCTCACTGTGCACTCTGGCCCTGTGAGCATGGCTGGTACAGGCAGCACGGTGGTCACTGCACCACCCGACAGGGAACAATGGAATTTCAACCCTATTGAAATAGGAATCCCAATATTACCAGTTAGATTGTGCCTGGGCCAGTCTGTCCCTTGCTGCTAGGCCAAAGGCGGCAACTGTGGTGTATCACCCCAGAGATACCTTTAGCTTGCTGGAGATTGCAGCTGGGCACTGAACAAGTCCAGGCTTGTTAGGAACTCTGTTTACCTCAGGAGGAAGGCTTCAGGCGAATGGTGAAGCGGAAAAGGAGATGGATTCTGCTGGAGGGTTTATATCCAGAGGTTTATTCCATGGTTACACAGGTCTGAATCTTGGGAACAGCTCCAACAGAATGGCGACCACATGGTCTGATTACCTTTTTAAGCTCCCGGGGCAGGGGGAGGGGAGGGGACAGGTGAGCCACCAACCAGGTGGGAGGGGCGGGGTCTCAGGGGAGGATGACACCTAGACAGGCCAATGACCTCTGGGCCTGAGGGGCATCCTTTGAAAGTGACGAATCACACGACGCCTTGCTGGAATGTTAAAAGTGATTGACAGCCCAGCAGGGGGCGAGGGGGGAAGGGGAAGAGGGGTATTGGCACACCTGGGGAAGGGACCCGGAAGTTTAAAACAGGCTATAACAACACACTACAACACAACCCTCCCATCCCGGGCCCAGAGCCACCAAATAGTGACACAGCCACAGGCTGAGCTGAGTGGGAAGCATTTGTCACTGGTAGCTGACAGCACCAAAAGGCTTGTGAATAATAGGAAAGAGAGGGATCGTGTTGTGTATTTCTGATGTCTCCACCCTGCTGTCCAGGAGGGGCTGTGCTTGCTGATAGCTTCTGGTTTCCTCTGAGCAGCACGCACAGGCTAGGGGGCTGACCATCACAGGTAGCCCTATCCTTCCCCTGAACTGTACCACTCTATAGAGAAACATTTTGACTGCTTTGGCCCAGGATAAATAGCACTGCATGAATAATGATTTTTTTTCACTTAATGCTGATGGTGCTCCCATGCTTCTTCTTCTAGGAGGCTGGGTTGGGCTGGGCTGACTTTAAATGTAAACTTTATGGAGCATGAGGAAGTGTTTGTAAAGCAAAAGCATCAAAAGCTATGTATCTTCAAACTTCAAGCTTAAAAGGAAATGTTTTTATTTAGGCTTCAAAGTTCTTTCTCTTGTTGTTTGACAGCTTCCATTTTCTTTCATCTTTCAAAATGTAGGCAAATTTCAAAATAATGACAGTTCAAAACAAAAGATCAGAAAGCTTTGTCTAAAATGCTGCACTGAACTGATTTGATGTATATTTTCAGCCAAAGCCATTCACCAACTGAATCCAAGTGGTCAAAACATTTGGTCATTTCCAGTCTCTCTTTTTCAGCATTTTCCTTCCTGTTCTCTTGGAAGTGGCCTCAGCAGTGAGGGATGGTCAGGAGGACATCAAGGGACAACTTCATCCAGAGACTGAATCCTTGTTTGGCTGTGGTGAGCCAGTGAGCACAGTTGGTACAGCCAAGCCAGCTAAGCTGGGGAAACTCAGCTACTCTTCTGTTACTTCAAAGTTCCCAAAACTATCAATAGAACTGAGGAAGATGGTGTCACCTGTAACTAAATAATGCTCTCACTGAGCATTAATTATAAGCCAGTGTAAGCACTTTTGCCTTTCTGTCAACGTTAATTTAATGCAGGAATTGATTTGATGGAGCAATTTGGTTTGCCATGTTCTTGCCAAGCAGGGTGGGAATACACTGTGTTGGCCTGCTTTCTTTCAGTCAACAGTGATTCATTTCCAGGGAAATCTTAGTCCCTCAGAAGACAACAGGCAATAGCAGAGATTGTTTCTAAGTACCATTTTGTGTCTTGGACAGACCAATGTGAAAACCACAGAGAAAGCCTGGAGCAGATCCTCAGATGGGATGAACTGAGATGCATGTGTCAGCTGTATGGTCAGATGATCATCTGGATCTCACTCCTGAACAGGTCTCTGTTGTATGACAGTGAGGACAGGTCAGCCTGGTGTAAGCTTAGTGAGGGCAGAAGACTCTGCACCTGCCAGAGGCTGTCCTGGTGCTGCCCTGGTGCTCTGAGGCACACAGTGCAGCAGCTGCTGCAGGGCTGTGCAGCAGTCCATGGGCATTTCTTGTCCCAGTCAACTTCGGGCTACCTGGCATGCCAGGAGTTTGAGGAATGCTGCTCTTGAGATACATCAGCCTGGGGGTGTGCTGTGAAGAGGGACAAACTTCCCCAGCATCTAGGTCACAGCTGTATTTACATAGCTCAAAAAACAAAGAAAAGTGCTCTAGGGCACAGGGCTTTAGTACTCAGCCAGTGGGGATATTAAAAAGGAGGGGAGATAAGCCACCAAGAGCTTAATTTCCTCTTCAGCTTCTTTCTGATTTATTCTCTTGTTTATTTAAATGCTTTGCTTTGGTAAACTGACGCTCCATTTCACTAAGGGTTTAAAGGAATTTCACAGGCATACAGAGCTGTCGACAAGACCAAATCTGGTGCAAACTCTCCAGAGTACAACAGAGAATTTAGGTAACTTTTTAAATGAAGTTTCCTTATGGTCAGATTCTGCTGCTCTCATCTTTTCTTGAACTCTCTGCCAAATGGCCAGATCTGTTTGGGATCTGTGCAAAATAGACATCTGTCTTCTGCCATGTTTGAGATAGCTCTGGGGAGGAAAACACTGCTCAGATGGGTTGTGTGTTGCTTGTACTTCTTTGATAAGCAAAGTTAACAGAGATGAGACATCTCTGACCTTCCTCACTGCTCGAAAGGTTTTGGCATGCTAGAAGGAAGTCCAGTGCCCAATTGTTCAGGGCAGCATGGTCATGGTTAAATTATTTGCACAGCACACATCACTTGTTGCTTGGCTTACTCCCACCCATCTCCAATTCGAATTCATCACTATTACCACAATGAACACCCCCAAAACAAATCCCTGCTAGGCACCATTTGATACTTTTGTCTTTGTGACCCTCTTGACCTAGTCTGCCTTTCTCCTTTTTCCTTTCCTTTGCTCATGGGGCTCTCTGGTCTCTCTCTCTGTCAAGAATCAGCTCCCCACTGAGATCTTTGTTTTCCTGGTTCCTGGAACCCACTGCAGTGATCTGTCCTCACTTCAGCAGCATGAGGCTTCAGGCAAAGAGCAGGGGGGAGCCCTTACCAGCACCTGCTATGGGAGAAGGTGCACAGAAGGGCTTTTTATTCTCTTGTCAGTGGCACAAGGTACCAGCAAGGGGAAGGAGAGGGAGTAAGGAGTGAGACAACCTGCTGAAATTTGGTCTTTGCAGTTTGGTTCATCACAGCTATGCCGGCAAGTTAAAATGGCATCTCCAACTCCAGCCCGACAAAAATCTGAATTTATGAATTAGCTCCCTGCTCGTGCATTATTTGAGACAGTTGACTCAACAGGGCACAACAGGCCTGGGCAGAAATTAATTAACCCTCAGACAAATTCTTTACAAATTTCAGTGCCCCAAAAGCAAGCCAGCTATTCCCAGAGACAAGAATAACCTCGTCTTGAAAATAAACCTATGTTCTGACCTCCACCCCATGTATCAGAGGATGATGACTTAACTTCATAATCTTCATTTTGAGACCAGAATCAAGTCCATCCTCTTATCTAGAGCTTTTATAAACACCAGATCTCAAGGAGTTGTTTTTCTTCCTTACCCAGACCTGATATTCACAAATTAATTCAGAATTTTACTGGTAAGAAAAGAAACATTTAAAATCAAATACTATTTTTTTACTGCTTACAAGTTTCAGGGGAGATATTCTAAACTCACTCAGATGTGTCTAATTTGTGACAAATAGGACTTGAACTCTGACTGGGGTGTTTGGGCAGGCCTAGATTTAAGATTAAGTTCACATGTTTCTTACCTCACTCAGTCTACAGCATTCATCCATGTATTCATCCAGGCTGTCACTTGTGGGGCACTTCTTCAGCTGATGTTCATGGATCTGAAGGTCTTGCATGCTGCCAAAATTCTCTGGAAAATTGTCAGCAATTGTCTTTGGCTCTTCTATGGGACCTGGTGTGGAAAGAGTGCTTTCTCTGGAAAGGTCCATCTCTGCAGCAGGTTCCTTTTCTGGAGACTGCTTGTCATCCTGGTGAAAATGTTCATCAGGACTTTCTTCCTGAGCGTCATTGAAGTCTTCAAGGGAAGGTGTAGGATCCTGCACAGCATCTGCCTCCTGACTGTAGTAATCATCTTGCTTTTTGCTCTCTGGATCTTGTAGGCTAACTTTCCTGGCATGTTCTTTACATGTTCTCATTAACTGATGGTCAATTTCTGGAGAAGAAGAGGTGCTGAGCACACCCGAGTCACAAAATGGGTCTCTGCTGTGAAGCACAAAGCTCTTCTCTGAGCCTGTAGGCGTTGATGGAGAATTAGCACCACTTGGCAACTCAACCCCCGAGTCCTCAGATTCGAATTTGGAGAATCTGTGGAGCCGGCACTTGGACCCGAGGGCGCTGGGGTCAGGCAGGGCGGCTGCGCAGTCACTGCTTGCCGGGCCATCCGCATCTGCTGCCGTGGCTGCTGCACCTGGACCTCCCAAGCAGTCTGGTGGGACACTGGCACCGGGAAGATGGGACTCCTCTGTGCAGGCTGTGTCGGCTGGAGCCTCTGGAATTAACCCTGGGTTTTGAATTCCTTCATTGCTCAGAATCTTCATGTGTGTTAACACAACTTTGTCCTCAACAGGTGGACTCTTCTTACCTGCTGAAAACAAGTAGAAGGTCATAGGAGGCTACAAAACTCAAGTGTCTTATGCATCCCCTGAGGGATGTGGAATGTAAAACTGCCTATACCAAGGTGGTAGAGGGGGACAGCCCTAATTTGTTTTTCTTGAGCTATATGAAGCTTTCTTGTGGGCTTTGCTGCAACAAAAAGCTTGTGTTTCACAGCCTCAGAGTCCTCCAGGGAGGCTCATAAAAGCACAGTTCTGATTTGATAGGTAAAAAACAACATATGTAGGCAGGTAACATTTTAGTAATTATCTGCATATAGATGGAGAGATGAACATGTTCTTTCAGCCTGATGGACATTAATTTAAGACTCAAATATTTTTTTCCAATTAAATGTATTCTGAACCAGCAGGAAAAAGAGTAAAATGAAATCACTCTTCCCAGAGGCTTAAGTGAATTTTGGGTTGCAACAAGCAATTTGACAACTCCCTGGTATTCTCTGCAGTATTCTCTGCTCACATACACATGACAAAAATCAAGTTCTGATTAAAAAAGCAAGTGTAAAAAGCACTGTAGATCTTTTCACTCTCTATATGGTTTTATCTATGAAGTAATGTCTTTAAAGTGAGCTCCTACCTTATTTGTAAAGACAAAAGAGATGGGGGCAGCCTTGCTCGAGAGCTTTTGCACACAAACAAGACTTGTTTTCAAGTCACAATTATTTTACAGAGTAATGTGATAGAACAGTCTCTGGATGAAAGGTTGATCTTCAAGGGTCAGAGATCTGCTCCCAGGTTTTTCTTACTGTTTTTCTGAATATAATATTTCATAGTGCAAACATTTGGGTCACGATGGCATGAGAGCCAGTGTGAAAGTTCTGCATCTACCTTTTAGCAAACTGCAGATCTCAGCTCCAAGTACGTATGTTTGTGAATTTGGAACCAAGAATTGATGCAGAACAAAACTTGTTTCCCTGGTATCTTTTCCCTTAGTGTTCACCCCAGAGTGCCTCAGAGGGCTACAATGCATACACTTTTCTGGATATCTTACTTTCTACTTAATTCCCTTCTCCTCTTTCTTTTTGCCTGAATCAGACCAGCATCAGCTTCACAAACTCACCGCCAATAATGTAAATGTCCCTAGGTGGGCAGGGAAGCCCAGGATCCACCCCACCAGGAGTGGATCAGGGAAAGCTGTGCTGTGCGGTTCTCCTTTGCGGTAACCCAGAAGCTCCCTGTTTCAGAAATAACCCATCTTTACCTCCTCCAGCTTGCTTTCTGCAAAGTATTAGATAAGGGAGACTTGTACTCATGAAGGCTAAGCTAACTCTTACATGGATCATTTTCTACTTTATTTGAATTCCCTTTGTTTGATCTTGAGAATTTCCTGGCATACCAGTGAAACATGCCCTTTGCTGTTCATAGACACCCACTGATTTAATATTTTACACTGGATTTTTATGAAGGGCAGTCAGTGATAAATAATCTGATGGGCTTCTTGTGGTACATAGTCCTAATACCCCTTATATAAGATTTGTTTATCATATAGAGAATTGCACTGCCTCCCTCAGCAGAATTCACAAGCATCTTCTTAGTACCAAGAGCCATGTTTGGGACAGTCAGTGCTAGACCTCAGCAATACAACACCAGGATGTTGCTGTGATGAGGGACAAGAAAAAGACATTAGCCAGGAAAACTCATCAGGAGCTGCCTGTGCTGGGCTCTGTTGTTTTTCTTCCACTTTTGGGATATGTATGAAGGACCCTGACCTGAAGATAAGGAATAGGGTGACTGGTTTGCAGCTTCACATATAGCAAAACATCAGCTGTAAGAGGGAGCTGGATGCCAGGGCTTGGAAAGAGGAGGTGGAACTGAGTCACTTTGATTTGGAGTCAAGAGGATCTACCTGCTCAGCTGCAAACACCTCTTGGCAGCCAGACACAAAATGTTGTATCTGCATGAAAAATACAAGGCTTACAGGCTCTTCTGATGGCATCACTACCCAGCTGGCCAACAAAACCACCAAGAGTCAGGAGGAGAGCAGTTGCATTTCCTGCAGTTACTTTTAGGAACAAACTATACAGCTGTCACTCTTACCAGGAATTACTATATGCAATGGTAGTTCTTTCCCACAGACTGATTGTTCTCACTTATTAATCATGCCATGCTTTCCTTTGACTGGAGATTCTCTCACTTCTTTCAATCTGCCCCTGTTTTTTCTTGCTTAACCGGTTTCACCCTGGCCTACACAAATATTGTTTTGTCTAAAATCAGGAAGCAGCATATTAAAATGAGGTTTTGCTACGTACAGAAGGACATGTCAGATGCTTTACTGCATATCTTTTGGGACTACAAAAGCTGCAATGTGAGGGTTTGGCTGGAGTAGAAAGAACAGAAAATAAGATGAAATTTTTGACCCTCTGTGGGATGCCAACAACAGTTCTTTGCTCTCCCCTTACTGTGGTCACTAGCAACATGTTTTACAAAAATTTTTTATCTGTTCTAGGCTGCAAACCATTGCTCTCAGCACTGTCAGGTCCTGCAAACCACAGAGCATTTTTGATTTATTCTTCCAACACCCCATGATGAGGCAAAATGTTATCATCCCCCTACCACAAGAGCAGAATACTCTTGTGTATTCTGAGGACAACAGGATTTTGCAACACACTTTGGCACCTCATCCTCATTCATTCAATAATATTTTCCCGTGGTCAGTGAGGTCATCTGTGCTACAGCAGAAAGATCTCCAGTGATTAAGGCAGTGACCTGAAACTCAAGTTATTCTTGCTGCACCTCACTGAGAGAAGAGTCTCTCTTCTTCCTCTCTATTAACTGGATTATAGAATCTAAACCATGGGGCTTCCAAGAAGCAGATTGTTCCTGCTACAGATCTCAAAAGAGGCATACAAAAACACTTAGCTCTTTCAAGCATATTGCTAACAAACACCAGAATGGTGCAAAATCAAGTTCATCTGCTTAATTGAGGGGAAAAGAAAAAAAAAAGTGACCCAGACCCTCAGCTGCTATAAATTAACTCATTTCCAGGGCCTTTACAGAACTGTGTCAGCTAATTTTGGCTGAGGGCTTGGCCTGGAAGTGCTTTGTTCAGCAGTACCAGGGGCCCTGAGTAAAGCAAGGAAGGGAGATAACGCTGGCCTGGCACTGGAGGCAGTGTGCTGCAGGGGTACGGCTGCGAACAGCCCTGCACGGGGGCTTCTGAAAGGAGGTGTGAAGAACTCCAGAGAGCTGAATGGTGGCATTAACAATGGTAAGATGCAATTTACTGGTGCTGGAGGCCAGCCAGGTTTAACGCTGCTGTTCCTGGGAATCCAGCCAAGATTTTTGTTGTTGTTGTTTGTTTCTTGTCCCCTGGACTGGTTTTCCACACCCCTCTAGGGTGGGGGTAAGATAGCAAATGCTGTAGTTTTTAGGAAGCTGGCTGCTATGCTGGTGTGGCAGCCAGGGAAGGAGTGGAGTTTTGTGTGCATGTTTCAGAATCAGTACAGGTTCCTGAAGCATATTCAACATGTGTGCCCAGGCCAAACACTGTCTCAGGGTAGTTTGTGCTACTTGCGTAGTAGCCCTTTCAAAGAGTTATATGGCTCTGTAATCACCCTAGAGGTAAATAGGGTTCCCTGGATTGAAATATATGCCTGTAACTGGTGGTGAGTGATCATGTGTAGCCCTGGGAAGCTGGGTTTCCTGTGCCTGTAAAGCTGGAGAATCAGCCTGCTTCCCAAGTCACAAGAAGGTGGTGACACTGAACTAGCTAATACCCGAGGTAATTGGTAGAGAGTGAAAGGAGCAGATGTGTACCACCTAAGACTCTAGAACTTTGCTCTGCATAATGTTTAAATTGCTTTCTAGGATATTTCTATGTTGCAGTTAGCATAGCCTAATAGAGAGACTTAAATCTTTCAAAGGTAAATACCCTCCCAATCATCTCCTGTCCCAAGGCTTCACTTTCTTGGGACTTTTAAGTCCAAGTTATTTTTCCAGTTGCACGACAACTAGCAGCTGCCAGGACTCAGCCTGGTGTATTACTGACCAGGAGAAGGAGGGCAGATACCTAAATATAAAATTGCTTTCAAGCAATTTCTTTATCCCAAGTAAGTTGGATGCATGAGATTTAACTCAAACAACTGCCCAGGAACAACTCCTTTGCATTTCCAATCCTGCTCAAGCCAAACTCTTGCAAAAGCTCCCACCTTTCTAGTAAACCAAGCCAAAGTCTATATCCAAATCCCCATGCTCCGAAGTACTGAAACCTATGTCTGATTTTTTTCTTTTTTGCATCTATGCCTGTGACTCAAAGTTGTGTTTCACTGCCAATTCGTTCAGTGCAAGACCTGTTAAGCTCTGCTACATCCCTGAGAGGGTCCGTGGTCTCTGATGCACTGACTTAAGTATCATAGCACGAGGTTTTCTGATGTATGCAACTAATGGAAGCACTGGTGGACAGGAAGAGGCCAGGCTGGCAGTGGAATGAGTGCTGCTGTTGGCAGTAGAGAGCCATACCATAACAGCACTGCCCTTTGCTGCTCTCTTCCTTTCCACCTGTTGTCTCAAAATGTTCATCCTGATTTTTAGGCTACTTGGCATGGGGAGAATCTCTGTTAAACATGGCAAAACTGGAGCCAAAGCTTTGCTTGTCTCCATCCACCGTCTTACAAAGGATAGCAGAGGTAGAGCCATGGCAGCATTCTGCTTGTCTCTAGAACTGCTGCAAGGTCCATGTGGACAGCGAACCCATCCTCAGCTCCAGCGTGATGAGGCACCAGAGGATCCACACTGGAGAAAGGCCGTACAAGTGTTCTGAGTGTGGGATGTGCTTCAGAGAGAGCTCCAGCCTGATCCAGCACCAGAGGATCCACACTGGGGAGAGGCCCTACGAGTGTTCCAAGTGTGGGAAGAGGTTTCAGACCAGCACCCATCTCCTCCAGCACTATCGGATTCGCAGAGAGGAGAGGCCCTTCCAATGCCCCGACTGTGGGAAGGGATTCAAGCACAACTCTGCCCTCATCACCCACCGGCGCATCCACACTGGGGAGAGGCCC